TTATAACTTTTGTATATTTCCTATAAAGTTTGGTTGAGTGATTATTATCACTGATAATAACAGTGAAATATTTTCGAAGTATTATATAGCAACATTATATTTATAATCCTTTTTATAAAAATAATTTTCTTGGATTGAGCATCTAGACAAAAAATAAAATAATGCAAATAGTAAAATAATGTCTACAAACAATGAAACTTTTATCTCCCTTTTACAATATTTATATATTTATATCTTACTTCTTATATTGATCCTACAGAATACATTAGTGATGGCATGCATATATATATACACACAAACAATGAAAATTTTATCTCCCTTTTACAATATTTATATATTTATACCTTTCTTCTTATATTGCTCCTATAAAATACATTAGTATTGGCATGTGTGTATATATGCCAATATATATATATGTATTTCATATTCTTTATATAAAATTAGACTTGACAATCTGAGAACAAAATATGTTAAAAATAGAACCAACTACTGCTCGAGATGACATAGTAGGTAGACAAAACAACCATACTTGGGCATTGCCTGAGGTCTGGCTAAAAAGTCCTACAACTGGGGATATACATCAGAGGCCACTTTGAGACAGGCAGCAGGGGTAGAGACACAAAACGGGCTAGTCCCATAACAGCGTGTGGTGGTTGAGAATTCAGAGGGATATCTCGGCTGCAGAGATCCCTCTGAAAAAGTGAGGGGTTCCAGCTCCACATAGGGCTCCCCAATTCAGGATTCCAGTGCCAAGAATAGAAGTCCCCACAACTTCTGGCTGTGAAAAGCAGCAGAGGTTGCGGGTGAACCAGATGGAAGGATGTGGGAGTCACAGACGTTCCTCTTAAAGGGTCCGCACAGGGACTTACTCACTGACAGACTCACTTGCTCTGAGCACCAGTGCTGTGGAAGCAGCTCGAAAATCACCAGGGATATATGGGGAAAAAAATGAATTGTCTGACTTCGGGGAGAAGGCTGAAGGAGCAGTTTTTTCCCAGACAGATGTGCTGGCAGACTCCATTGTTTCTTTGTTGAACCCTTCTCCCTCCTGGTGTGCAGATATGGGGGCTGCCATATCTGAGTTCATCGATCAGTTAACACATGTCACCCTGCCCTATTGATTCCTTCAGAATCTGCCTCACCCAACTTGCAGGCCCACCCAAGCCGCTTCTAGTGGCTTTTCCATACAAATGGCCTGTTTTGGCTCATGGTGCTAACTTTTCTAAAATCTCTCAAAGGTTCACACAACTCAAACAAGAAGCATCTGGCATCGGTGTGCCCTGTATCTCTTGCTGAGCAGCCCCAAGCCCAGCACTAGCAGCAGCTGGTTTCTGTTTGCAGCTTAGCCTCTTGAGGCACCTCCAAGCCTGGTGTGGGTGGTGGCCACCTGCAGATAACTTGATGACTCTTGCCAGGTGGTCCTGGGCAGGGTGCAACCTGCAGCTGAACTTGGCCTGTGGCCCTTGGGCCGGCACGTTCGGTGGTGGCCAGCTTAGACACAACCTGGAGCACTGCCTGGGGCTGCATCTGGAGAACAACACACTCAAAGGGCAGACTGAGCAGGTAGCAGGGGCCTGATAAAGTGAATCCTGCTCTGTAGGGTCAGCAACTCACCTGACAGTCCTCATAACCAATCAGCTCTAGGGTCGATACCTCCTACTGAAGTGCAAACAGCAACCAAGGCTCAAATACAACAGGAGGGCACACGCAACCCATACAAGGCACATCTAGAGCACTTGGCTCCGGTAACCAGGGAAGATTGTGCCACTGGGCTCCACATGACATCTACTATGTAAATCCATTCTACTAAGACCAGAAGACATAGCAGCCTCATACATAGAAACACACACACACACACACACACACACACACGGAGGCAGCCGAAATGGGGAGACAAAGAAATATACCTCAAATAAAAGAACTAAACAAAATAGAGGCAAGCAATCTATCAGATGCAGAGTTCCAAAACACTGGTTA